GGGAGGCCTGGAGGCAGGAGATTGCTTAGCCAGGACCAGTTGAGGTTGCCTGTGAGCAGTTGATACCACAGCTACTCACTCTACCTGAGGGAACAGAGTGAGACTCTTGTCTCAAAAAAAAAAAAAGAAAAAAAAAAAGAATAGTCACCTTAGGTGTGGGCGCAGAAAGAAAAATGAAGTGGCCGACAGCCCTGCTCCATAAATACCCAAATGTCCACACAGTCCAGACAGCGGCTGGTGCCAGGCTCAGATGAATCTATCTTCACCCCGCCCTCCAAGGGACTTTTAAGTCTCTTGGGGAGAAACCCAACCAATTTGAAATAACTCCAACCAGTACTCCACAACAGTGCACAGAGTTTGGACCCACAGGGAAGTGAGCAGAAGAGAAGCACCACGTGCTGGGCCTTAACACATGAGTAGAGTTTGCTGGGCAGAAGCAAGGCAGGTTTGCAGAGAGGACAGAGGCAGAGGGGCTTGGAGGTGGGAGGCAAGGGGCCATATGTAACTGGAAGCAGAAGGTGGCTGGAAAGAAGATGACTTTAATGGAAAGGAGAGTCTGGTCAAGTGGGGGTGAACTTGGACTTTATCCTGAGGTAGTGGGAGCCAGGGAAGGTTTTTTTTTTTTATTGTGTTTTTACTGATAACATCATAAGTTGATATATCAGGGACAGTTTAAGAAGGAGGAGACATGGTCAGCCAGAATTGGTGGAAGTTGAAAAAGGCTGGTGAGTGAAGAGGCTGGGGCACTGTCCAAATCAGAGATCTGATGGCCTTGACAGGCGCAGCGGCCTGGAGATGGCAGGAAAGGACCCCTATCTATGAGCTGTTTGAGAGCAGAAGGGAGACTGAAGGGAGGGTGGGGCGAAAGACAGAGCACCCGGGACTGGCCTTGACAGCACCAACAGGGTCTTCCACAGAAGCTGGGAATCTTTCCACAGCAAACCCATAGGGTGAGGCGCAAGGCAGAGGGGAAGTGCCCGGGAGCCAGGCGCTCTCCCAATCCTGGACCCTAAGACTAGTGGAGGCCTCTTGGACTGGACACACACACCTGCCCGCACAGAGCTGCCTGGATTTTGCTTTTGGTTCTATCTCCTCACTGCGGAACCGCG